TCAAGAAAAACAACCATTGTTGGTTGCTGGAAGCAGTGTCACTGTTTCAGAATCTGTCAGAGGGTGAAGATATGATCGATGCAACCTCTTGCAGGACGGAACCCAGCTTGGTTTTCACGGATCTGCCTCTCTCTGTGTTCAGTCAACCTTCGAAGGATAAGGCCAGAGAGCACCTTCGATGCCACAGCTAACAGACTGATGCCACGGTGGTTTTCGCATAGCGTCCGTGTACCCGTTTTGAAGATCGGGATAACTGTCGACATGCCCCATTCTGCAGGCACTTTCTCTTCGTCCCACATAGTACCAATAAGCTTTGTCAGGTGGGTCACGAGGGAATTTCAGCCTTCTTTGAAGAGGACTGGATGCAGACCTTCCGGTCCCGGTGTCTTCCCGCGTTTCAATACGGGTATTTCATACCTTATTTCTTCTTCCGAAGAGCGATCAAGGTTTACATTCCATTCGCCCGTATGCATTATCTCCACCGGCTGTGTTGCATGAGGCCAGCTGAACTGCTCTTCGAAGTGTTCGGCCCATCTCTCCAGTCGACGTTTTGCGAGTGAATTAATGAGCCATCTTTTCACTGACCGTCGCCTTCCTAGGGCCAGTCGGTCGTATCAGTTGATAAAGAGCACGGCTGTTTCCGGTAGCAAAAGCCTTCTCCATCTCCCGAGCTTTCGATATCCACCAGAGCTCTCGGTCTTTTCTTAGACTCTTCACTATTTGGCTTTGAGGGATTTGCGTGCGCCGCCGTACTCGTTGCCTGCTGATATGGCTTTCGTGGTACTAATCATGGATAACGACCTCGACGACATCCAGCAGTCTTGTGGTCGAATTGGAGAAGTCGGGCAGGCAGCACTGGACGCCGCTAGTATAGCTCCTTTCACATTTTGCCACGCTTCATCCACATGCTCACTGCCACCACACTATTGTTTTACTGTGGAAAGTTGTTGGGCTAGCTCAAATCGGTACTGTTGGGCTATGGCAGTTCTTCGAAGATAGTGGATTGGCACGTTGCTTGCCGACTTGCGAGGACCTGAAGGAAAACGAACTGTCAGGCGTGCGCGCACCATGGCGTGATCGGAATCAAGTGGTGTGCCCCAGAAGGAACGGCAGTCTTGAATTGTGGCTCTCCACCGGTGACCGATGGCCACGTGGTCCAACCGGGTCCACGGTTGATTTGTAGTTGGCGGCCGCCAGGTTACGCGGTGCGAACGTTTAGGTTGAAAGTTCGTACTTGCCAGAAACAGTTCGTGATCAGCACACAACTGAAGGAGTCGATCTCCGTTGTCTGTGCGGCGAGC